CAAACGTAACTCAGCGATTTTCAGCTGTTTCAGCGTCAGAAAAGCTCCTAAAAAGCGCGCAGGAAGATCTTACTTCTATAGCAACAGGTGTGGACCTCATGGAAATATTTGTTTCTAGATAAAAAGTAAGTGTTGCACTCAGAAATGTACTGAACATGAATTCTACGAAAAACAGTTTACTCAATTATCTAAGCAGACTACTTAATACTTTCGGAACATAATCATATGATTAGATCAACCACTTAAAACATTGAAGAAACTATCTTTTTATTGCAGCGGTTTTCTAGACAACCTTTTTAAAATCTCAAGAATAAGGAAACAAAGATTCTTTCCTTTCTAATACTGTCAACATCGACATTAAGTAGAACAGTATTTTATTAAAGTTTCACGTGGTTTGGTTGAATATTTATATAAATTCCTGGGTGTTTTCCATAGAATCTATGTTCAGTACATTTCCTCACTTTTTTTCAAAAATGAACATTTCCACAAGGTCCAAAATGATCGCAAACTTATACTTTCACTCATTTTCGAAGTTCTAAGAGTCAAATAGAGAGATATGCATATCTCAAGAAGTTACTTCTTCGATCAAATGTCTGTTTTATGTCAAACACAATTAATGTAATTTGTCTAGTTTGTATTGATTATTATCTAAGACATGTTTCAAATATAGGAAATTGTCTGCTATTGATTTCTGTTGTCGAACTCCTCTATCTGGTAGACTGATAGTAGATGATGTCGATCTGTTTAAATCATTTAAATGTTGTTTAATTTTATCTAATTACCAAAAAACATAGAATCAACTCATCATGTGTATTTTTATTTGGTTTTACAATTAAAATAGTATGTGCTAATTTCAATTGAGATAGTATAAATCCTAATTTTAGATTGATAAACGTTGTAAGGATAATTTGATCTGTTTTTTCCAGACAATTATTGTGTACACCGACATATGCAACAGCATTAAGGGTCCCCCTCAGAATGAAACCTTTTGGTAGCAAAAAATCAACTTGCAGACAAGCACATAGAAAGATAGCCTGGAGTATCTACTTTCAGAATCTGTATCGCTTTCGGGCCTAGAGGTGGTTTTTTTGTGGTTTTTGAGTAAGTTTTCTAGAAGTCCTGAAAACCAGGGTCTTTAAATAATAATTTTTGTCTGAACACTTACGTCAGTAAATTTTTTCTGAACATGTAGATTTGTAGAGCAGACTTTTCTGATGAAAATAAGACGATGCACAACTCTGTCTGATCTTGCGTTCAAAAATCACATTCATTTTCCTATATGTCCTAAAATAGACCAACGAATGCACAGTGTTTTCTCTCAATACACGTTTTTTGTTCGAACATGCCCAGGGTGGGCACTTTTTTTAAATCCACTTCAAGCCAAAGATCTCGGGGTGGTTTTATTTTAAACTAGACACCTAACTACGTGGGTTGAAGGGAGCGATTTTTGAATTAGACCTTGGTTTTCTAGAAAATCAAGAAACTCTGCAAAATCCGAAAGGATTTTTCGGGTTTTGAGAATCTTGGATCTCTAGAAAACCAAAGAAGACCTAAATCAAAAATCTGGTTCCATTAACCTACAGAGTTAGGTGTCTAGTTTAAAATAAAACCAACCCAAGATCTCTGGCTTGAAGTACATTTAAAAAAAGTGACCCATAGTGGAGGTTGAGTTTTTGACCTTGGACTCTGGAAAACCCCGGAACGGCAAGAGGTAGCGAGGAAAAAAAGATCTCATAAGCACACTTTGATATGGCAAACATTTGCTGAAAGTGGTATCAAAGTCGAATGTAAGATAAAAAAATTCTTCCGTGAGGGCGGCCCTTAACTAATTTTCAAATAACTCTTAGTTCATCTTCAGCAATTTTGCTTTGCAAATGTTTGTGTTGTCTAAACGTTTAATGTTGTGTTCAACTTGTTTGCCAATGTTGACTGTTCAATACTTATGTTAGATGTGTATTCTTTTTCAAACGTTTTCAAAATAAAATTTAAACATATCTATCAAACTATCAAAACGAGGTTTTTTGCATTTGCAACTATACAAAACTCATTTTTCCTTCTGTATTTAGAGTTTAAGATCCTGTATCCGCTTTTTAAAACACTACTTTATCAGTACATGAAAAAAACGGATAAGGGAATTCGTTGATTACTATTTTCAAAGCGGAGAAATATATTTTTAGTAGTTGAAATGCAACAACTTGTTTCCATTTAGCCAAAAATGTTCATAAAACAAGCTCTGGATGTGATTTGTCTCTGTCTCGTAAACTGGAGAGTTTCGCAGAGTAACAGTAACCAGTGTGCGCTATGGTAAGTATATATTTGCTTTAGAATCTAGTACTGCTAAAAAAAATTTTTTGGCTCAGGTATTCGCCGCCCTATACAGTGAAAACACGCCTAAGCTGCTAAAATGATCCACTTGCTCAGAAAAAAAACTGCTAGAATTTATGCATTTAAACGGTTTCATACTGCACCATGTCTTCTACGAAAATCTAAAAGGGTTTAGAAATGGTTGCACTTCTCCATACCCTTTTAAATTTCGTAATAAACCTTCTCTTTTTAGCGAGTAGAGTGAGTTAAAACTTTAGATAAAAAGTCCGACGGGTTTAAAGAAAGTTGACTCTCGATTCATTTGTTTTGAATGTAACGAGATTTTTATTTTTAAAACACGTTAGCAAAAGCATACAAGCACGTTCATCTTCCTAGACTAGCATATTGTTACACCATATACTTGTTATTTCTTATTATTTCATTCAAATACTGATTATTAATATTTTTTTGTTACACACGATAATGAGTCATAGATACAGGCTTAAGAGAACGCCTCTTCGTTAAGTATGAGTAGGTTGAGTCATTACGTATAATTGAAGAAATCAGTACTTCAATAATAACTCCCGAACACTTGCTCACACAAAGTTCCATCCAAAGAAAGGACTTCTTCATTGTATGATCAAGAAACAGTTCAAAAGAACCATACAGTTTGGACGGCGTCTTCGTACCATTTTAGTACTCACAAACTTACTTTTTCCAATAAACTGAAGCTCTTTTCAAAAATGAGTATACTGTACGTAATATTCATGTTAGCGCAAGAGCTAAAGCTCTTCGCTGTGAGACAGGATAAAAAGTATTTTAATGTCTATATTAAGTATTCTGTAGTTGAGCACAAAAATTTCTTACAAAGCGCCTAATCGTATTTGACAAGGTTTTTTATGCTCTTTAAAATGAAATTGTATAGTTGAAAATGTTCCCTTCTCCTGCAACACTGTCTTCTAGTATGTCAAATTACACTTTGAGTTTTTTGTACACTTCGATTTTTCTATGAAAAGATTTATCGAAGAAAGCTTCAAAAAAAGCAAGATGATGTTGGAATTTCGAACTAATTCAAAAATTCCGATAGCATCACACATGGCTAAAATTTTCTTATAAAATCGAAACGTTCTATAATCACTATAAAACACTTTTTGATTATTCATGTTTTCTAATAAATCCTTCTCAGCCCTGTAAGAAAAATAAAATACACACTATTGGTATTTTAAAGTGCGTCTTTTTATACAACGGAGGCCTTATCTATTCCAAAGTATTTTCTGAACATCTCGTAAAAGATCATCTCTTTCACAGACCAGATCTCTTTTTTAATTTTTAAATTAAATTTTATGTTTTTTAAAATTTTAAAATGTCGTATTTTTCAATTAAAAGTTAAAGAAAAACTTTTGAAAAAAACTCTCGTGATGGATTATAGAATGCGATGTTGACCTACATAGAGTTCAGTTCCAGAATGCATGCTTCGAGTGACACTAGCCGTAGGACTTTTTTTAAAAATAGTTTTAACTTTGAAATTTTATTGGGAAGATAAAAGTTAAAATTTCTACCTCAAAACTTCATTCGGAAACGACGACAATTTTTTTTCCTTAATCAGTTTAATGTCCTCTATCGAACTACGCTAGAATCAACTGATCATATCAAAAATTGAAGTTTTTATTAAATTTTTAAAAATAGGACAAAAAACCAGAAAAAAAAATTAAAACATATTTTATCAAAAACTACAAGTCCTAGAGCTGAAATAATTTTTGGGACATACACTTCGAAGTGTCGTCGATAAATCGAATGAGGAGGCACCTTTTAAGCTAGCAAATATTACAGATGTCTTATTTCTCTCTTCCACAACAAGTAATACTTTAAATTTTATTCTGTTTCTTTTTGCTGATAATTGAATTTCTCTGAGTACTCAAAAGAAAGCCAAACAAGAATAATTAAACATGCATACAGCCTACCATAACTTTCATTCATGACTTGCAAATTTGTAAATAAATAAAAACTCGAGAAAATTCCAAAAAAGCTTGAAGAATAAGAAGAATTTTCAATGGAATATAATAGAAATCTATTCGCTGACAAATCGAAAAAGGATCCGAGTGCAATATAAAAAAATAACGAACATTAAAAAAAAGAATTTTATCTTTTTATTTGTATACATTAAATATTATTCGAATCATAGTATAATTTATGTACTATGGAACAACCTCAACCGACCCAACCAGTTAGCATTCTGAAAACGCCATCACAATGGAGAATCAAATTTCCATGGGGCATTGGTATTACGATATTCACCTTACAAATGTTATTAACTTTCGCCATTATTGGACTCGAAATTGGAAGTGTTCTAATCGATACCTATCATTCAATGATTTTCGCCGGTTTTTGGTGTTCATTTATTTTTACTATTACCTGGATTTCTGGATATTCGAGTGGTATGATTATTTTGCACAGATACCAGACATTATCCTCATCTGTTTTTGTTTTTTTTTCTTTTTTGTTTAGTTTGCTGTTGTCGGGGAAGAGGTTGCTCGACGTATATTCTTGTACTCAATTGTCTTAATGTCATACTGGCTATTACTCTATTTGCATTTGATATAATATTTATTAATTATCCGCTTACATGTTACTTTTCAGTCGAGTGTTCCACCTTCACTTCCGTACTGTACAGTTCATATAATTTCTACACTGTTAAAATGTCGCTAATTAAAGGACAAACGGCTGCTGCTGCTCTTATGCTTGTATTGTCTATTATTTATATTATTATTTACATTGTGACGAGTGTTCAAGTATCCCGAACAAAAAATCCAATGATAAATACCATTGCACCAGATCAGCAGCCGGTGAATGACCCAACTAAATCGCCATACACACAACCATCCATTTATAATATTCCAGCACAATTCTTACCTCTAACCAATTACCCTCCACCCGTACGTCAAGCGCCTGGATCGCCCAAGTACCATCGACCTGCTGGTGCAGAACAAATAATACCAACAACATCAGCCAACCCTACAACATCAACCAACCCTGTTCAAGAAGTTTCTTGCCCATTGTGTAAATCAAAAGTACCAATACCCTTCTCTCCAAACTATCAGAATGTATTGACTGTTTAGATTTTATTTTTGTTTTATTTCAAAAATAAAACAACAATATACACCAAACAATACAATATAACAAAGATAAGAATTACAACAGAAAAATAATGTACTGTACTCGATTTCACTACAACTAGTGTAAGTCATACAGCATCCTCTGTTTCTTTATAATTCAATGGATCTTTTGGCTTTACGCCATGCAAATACAATGTAAAATAATTTAACTCGGCCTCGCCCATACCAGTATTAGCAATTTCTAATTTCCAACAACCTTGTGGCTGTTCACCCCAGTTATGCACCTTTGAAAAAAATATAATGAAGAAAAAAATTGAATAGTATTTTCCACTATATACTCACAGTCATAAATGGCCATTGTGTAAATCCTTTATCTGAATCATCCAGTCGTCTTAAATCGAGTAATGTTGAATTAGTACCGTGTGGACTCGTTAAAAATATCATAATGTCACCACGACGTTTACATTCAATTGTTAGTGCTGCTTCAACATGTTCCAAATAATTAATTTCTCCTTTGGTATTTCTGCACGCTTTTGTACATATTTGCGTAATAATTTTGGATAACGGTGAAATTTTTTCATTTTTTGTATCTGTTTCAACAATACAATGACGTCGTTTCGGTACACTTTTCCATTGTCTCGCTTTTCGGACCATTTGTTCTGCATTCATCATGCCAAATCCGAATGCATTACTAACACTGTATATTAACACACGAGCATTGATTGAAAAAAGCCCACAAAAAACTGTTTGTTAAAAGGGACAATCACTTACTTTAATCCAATACCATTTGTTTTCCAATCACCGCGTAAAGTGAGTGGTCTAGCTGTTAATATAACGATATACTGCATATCACGCCAAGTTAAATCTGGATTTGCTTCTAATACTAGAGCCACGATAGCAGCTGCCAGTGGAGCTGAGGCACTAGTACCTAAATTGATAAATGTTCTTAATCTATAGTTTTGAATTTGTATATATTGTAATTGCCTGTGTGATGTGTTGTGCATTTATGTCGTAGATCTGTTGAGACTATTGATCGATCTGATCGATAGCTGAACCCTGAACTATATGTGGCGGCGAGCGTAGAAGAACACAGTTCGCTGTAATGTGGAACTTCACCTAAAAGTGTTTTAAAGAGTGTAAAGAGAGAAAAAGTGATTCATTTATCAAGATAAAACATACCATGTTCAGTGGCACTCGATACAGACATTGTCAACGGTGAATTTGTATAGCCTGAAAACACGTACCAAAGTTAACCTAGATTAAAAGCCACATTCTACCGCTTAACCATCGCAATTGCAATTGTCAATATCACGGCCACCGTTTCCTGCCGCCCACACATAAATCTGACCTTTACCATTTCTCCCGTAGAGTATTCCATTTTGAAAAGCCGCAGAACATAATCGACCAGGTCCATCAACAGTCCTTTGAAATAACCAATTTCTCCCTTTTGTTACTGAATACAGATACTCAATCTTACCTACCGTCCATCATCGTCAGGTCCTGTAAATAGAAGGAAAAAACTTTAATTAATGATAGGAAATGGTTTTTCGAGAGTCTATAGACATCAACTGATACACACCCCAACTTGCACTAACAATATTGATATGTTGTTGATTAAATCCAATCGATTCTGCTTCTGTTCTATCTGTTATTCGACCGTCTAACATTCAACAACAGAAAATAACAGACAACAGACAACAAAAAAAATCATTTTTGTCTTTTTCGTTTCATTTACCTTATACCACCTACAAGTGCTTTATACGCCACACCCACCATACAAAATTTATTGTTGGCAACAGCTGCAACCTCACCGGCACACCTAGTTCCATGTTTATTTTCGTTTGTTTCATCATATCTCGGCATTGGATCACTATCACGATCATTAATATCTGTTGATGACAATGGATCATAATTATTTTTTAAATCAGGATGTGTATATTCGATTCCATCGTCTGTGATTGTTACCGTAATACCCTTGCCACTCACACCTAAATCCCAAGCAGCTAAATACAAATATTGCTGATCAGAAGAGAAAGGCAGACCACGACGAGTCTGACATCATTTAATAGATGTTTAAATAACGTATCACTAAATCTATGCCTGACCTGGTATATTCATATCAAGTGCTTTTCTATCTGTTTGATCGTTTAAATACCACATTTTCTGATATTCGGGATCATCAAAACGTGGTACAGCAGCACTATTTGATTTTATCTTCATTAATTTTTCTGTTACTTGTAGGGTTATCTTCTCATTGTCACGTAATTGTATATTATTATTGTTCTGACTTGGAGTATCTAAATTTCGTTGTAATAATATGGATTTTGAACGCTTTACATTTGAATGATGTTCTCGACGTCTTCGTTGATTTTCTCTAGATGTTGAACGATCAACATAATCCCGTTTCACACGTAATATTGAATGTTGAAACTGAACATAATTGAAATGTCTTTTTAATTCACTAAACAATTGTCTATTCGATGATAATGAACGTTTATGAATAGAACGTTTTTGTAGAATAAAATAAGAACTTCCCGACGGTATTTCATCTAATAGATCATATCCGAGAATTCTGATAATATAAGCTAAATTTTCTTTTGATCCTTTGAAATAAACGGCTACTTCACGATAAAAATGTTGTCGATCATTTGATGAAATATGATGAAAATAGAGGAATAAACAAAAGAGAACAGTAATGAACATCTGTATTTAGTTGGCGAGGAAACAGTCAAAAATATAGATTCTGTATGAGGAACCTTAAGCAAGAGTAGAAATTTTTACCGCATCAATTATATAAAGCATTATTAATTTTCAATGGCGAATTCTTTTTAAGGACAAGTACACCACTTGATTTGTATATTTGAACTTCAAACCAATTGTTGCTGAGTAACGTAACACGAATACACGGTTTATTTCATATTTCAGCAACCAATATATCAGAACGTATATATTTTGTAAAACATGGATTTGCTACATGTAGTTAACCTTGTATAAATAGTTTGGGCTTATTTCAACTTTATATCAACAAATACTTTTTTATTCGATTTGTTTGTATGTCCATCCGGCAAACTAACGAATATTACACTCGAAAAATTATCATGATTAGTATAATGAAAATCGCTATCAATACATTGACAAGTGCAATTATTTCGCTACATTAGAACATTGTTTCAATGTTTGTGCCATTTAATGCAGACATTGTTAAAAAAGTAAAAGTTTGTGTTTAAACGCACATAAGTTGTATTTTAAGAAATGCTTGCATACAATTTCCAAAAAAGTTTGCATCTAAATAGAAGGAAAAGAAAGTTTTCATTGAAACGGAAACATTTTTCATTTGTGAAAAAGCGCAAATAATTATTTCAGAATTTTGTGTTAACTAGACACACACTGTATAAACCCTACTGATTCTCGAAAATTTTTCAAGTTTTGTTACACAAGTGGGTAAATGTTAGCAATAAATCTGACTTTAGTTGTCAGATTATAGTTATAAAATAAGCAAACGGATAGGTAGTGGTAGAGAGAAGTGATCGTGTCATGATGATAGATCTTGCTGTAAGCTCCCTCTTCGATTGCGGTAAAAACAGACGGACTTGTTTATTATTGATGAGTAAGAATCGCGAAAAAGTAACTATCGCTTCGGAATGTTCGAGAATTTCTCACGAGAGATTTCTATATGAGCGCAACAAAACCACACTCATAGAAAATCGCTGCTTATTTCATGAGTTTTACATCAAACGGAGTTTCGGAGACTCGCGACACGTCTGATAAACATTAATAATCTCCATACAACATTTTCTATGCTTGAAAGTGACATCATGCACTCGCACACCTCTGTTTCATTTTTGTTCACCAACTTCGCTATTAATTAACCTTCGAGAAACTTATCAATCAACTTTCCTTCCTTTCTTTCTATACAAATATTCTACGTATCA